TAATAATATGATAAAAGAAGAAATCCAATAAAAAGAAAAGATGCATAAATAGTCATTATAATTTAGTTACATAAATGATTTCTGAGGGTAAAATTATCATTTAAAAAAAAATTAACACAAAACTATTAAAGTTAATTTTTTGGATCAAAATCATATAATTTTGACCACCATTAGGATTATTTTTAAAATTTGGTCATATATATATATATATATATATATATATATATATATATATATATATATATATATATATATAGAGAGAGAGAGAGAGAGAGAGAGAGAGAGAGAGGTTGATAACATCGCTAGACATTTTTCAAATCATTTGACTTGAGGTTAATTCTTTCAAAAACAACAAAATATAATTAAATAGTCTTCATATCTATCTTGAATCTTAATTTTAACACTTGTCTTGATCTAATAAATAGAAAATAGATATAAATAAAAAGTAGAAACAATATTTGATTTCTTTGTAATCAGACGATTGGATATCAGTGGCGGAGCGAGGGTCAACGTAAAGGGGTATCCCGAACCAATGGGTTCGGTTTCTTGGTTTTTCAGTTTTCCAAACTCAGTTTCGGGTTTAAACCCAAACTCATTCAAAGGTTTAGCTTATTGAGAATTGAGAAGCTTGTATTGCTTATATAACAGATGTATATGGGCTATGTTTCATTTTATGACCGATGTGGAATAATTTTAGAATTACAAGAAATAAGAATAAAGTTGAAGGGATATATGATAGAAACTGATAAACAAAAAAATTAGCACATCTCAAGCCCAAGATTCGAACTTCCAACCTCTAGAAAAACACCATGTTGTCATAACAAACTAAACCAACTAGAGCTTTTGTTAATTTCTCGCAAAACACATTTATATTAAGGAACGAAAAATAAACGAAATTTTTCGGAAAAATTTATACAACTAAAATTTTTTTGAGGGGTATCCCGGGATACCCCGGGATCCAATGTGGATCCGCCTGTGTTGGATATGATCATTAAAAAATGGTGAATTTGTTATGCGACAGGACTTAACATGACTTAAGTAATTAGTTATAGTGAAAATAGTACGTAATATGATTCAATATTAAAATTACTAGATTGTCTTTCTTTATCCTGCAATAATTATAAATGAAAAATAACATGTGCGAATGGACTATACATTTGAAGGCCCACCCCAATAAACAATAATGAGGGGCCCAAAGTTTGTGTTTGTTATGATCTTATCTTGTTTTTTAAGTGATTGCAAATTTCGTTCTTTATAAATCCGATTAATGTCATAGTGTTCAATTATTCATCATGTTTAATGTTTATGTTTTACCATTCTTCGTAAAATCACTAATTAATTAGGTGATTGTGTTTGTGTCTTAACATTTTTGGTAATTATTTAATTTGTCCTCTTCGCAGCATAAATAGATACGTGATTTTGTTTGTGTTTATCAATTGAAAATCTGTTGGTGATATTTATTTTTGTGTAATAATTAACATCACATCCTATGAATAAGACTATAAGAGACAAACTCTAAATCTCCATCTGAAAAAAACAGAAGTATGTATAAGGATTAGCTGAACACATAATGCTCATATCATAATTTTGAATTACGTTCATAATTTAAGTTAACAATTTTATGAGTATTGGTGTAGATAATCACTCTAGTGTATTTGGATGCCCATATTTTGTTAGTTTGATTTGGAAATGACATTTTAACTTGTCAATTGAATATGTTTTTTTAGACAAAACTACAAAATTAGTCCTTGTGGTATTCAAAAAACTTTGGATAGGGTCCAAAAAGTTTTTCGTTTGCATAAAAGGTCCAAAATCAAACTTTTTCTGTGTTTTTGGTCCAAAAAAACTTGAAATGACGGTTATACCCTTTTACTTTCATTTTCATATATTTTTTAAAATTTTCAAATACTATTTTAATTTAAAAATAAAAAAAAAGAAAATAATTATTCTCTCTATCTCTCTCCAAAAAGTCAAAAAATACCCGATCCATCTTCTTCCTCAAATAAGGGTATGGATTGTCTGCTTGGATTTTGTTCAAGGATGGGTTAAAACTCATTTTTCGACGATGTGCTTCATAAGAACAATCATCACCTCCTTTATCCATGTTGTTCACTTACTAGAACTCGATCCACAAGAAAACATACCCAAAGAAACAGCTTTAGCCCCAAAATGGTTCATCCTTAAAAATAACCACCATCGAGACCCATCATCCCCATCTTCCCTATTCTTCGATTAATCTTATGATCAAATTGCAACTCGAAGAAATATATATATTAAAAAAAGAAGAAGTTTGACTAGGGGTTGTGATTTAATCGGCCCTCTCTCTCTTTCTCTCTCTCTCTCTCTCTCGCTTGCTTTGTGTGTGTATGTGTGTGAAGATGCAGATCTGATGAGGAGAATAAAGGAGAAATATACACATATCAGGGTTAATGATATCTAAAACAGGAGACGTTGTCATAGATCTATTTCTTAAACATCTGAACAAAAAAATCGACCCAATCGAATGTGGATGGAACATCGCAGAGGGCCGACGATCTGATCTTTAGAGCAGCGCTGACTATGACGACGCTGGTTTCACCGGACGGTAAAGGCGGCAACATCGGTTTGGAGGAAAGAGAGGATTGATGGAGAAGAAGGTTTGGATCATTTTTCAGCTTCAACCGGGGAGCACATAAACACAACTCATTAAGAATCAGTTATGATGGGTGCCTGGATGATGAAGATTGATCATAAGTGTATTATAATCCAGTACCCTAGATACACGAGTATCGAATTCCAGTAAAGACGAAGGTGTGGTGATAATTTTTCTGGAATGATATGATGAAAGAGGAAAGATAATGGTGATTATTTTGTTAAGAAGATGGTAGGTGATTATGAATATACACCCATAAATCGATTTGCAGAAACAAAACCCACACACAAATCGATTTTAGGGACCATCATCAAGAAAAAAAAATGGAGTATGTATGTATATGTTATTGATTGTGTTTTGGGTGGAGAGAGAGAGAGAGAGAGAGAGAGAGAGAGAGAGAGATTTAATTATTTAAATACCAAAATAAATAAAGAAAATTGAAAAAAGGATAAAATCGACTTTTCAAGTTTTTTTGGACCAAAAACAATGAAAAACCTTAATTTTGAACCTTTAGTGCAAGCTGAAAACTTTTTGGACCCAATCCAAAGGTTTTTGCAAACCACAAGGACCAAATTTGCAGTTTTGTCTTTTTTTTTTAATACTTTTGTTGAGTTGGAAAAATTATACAAAATTGCAAGAATGGTCCCTGTGGTATGTCAAAAGTAGCATGTTTGGGCCAAAACAGTTTGAGCTAGCATTAATGGTCCAAATGTTTCATTTTCTTGTAAGTTTGGTCCAATTTGGTTTGAATTTTTTTTTTGTAAAGACATTTTTGCCCTTGTTATTTAATTTTCCATTTTTTTATTACTAGTAATTAAAAAACAATTAAAATAAAAAATACTCTCTCTCTCTCTCTCTCTCTATATATATATATATATATATATATATATATATATATCCCTGGATCTCTAAGTTTAATATTAACACAAACCAAATTAACACATGTCTGAAAGTGGATTTGCAAAACAAAAAACCTTCACTTTTATCGATTTTGTTCAATTTATTGGATTAATTTTACAAATGTTCCGGACTCTAAACACATATACACATTTACACATACATCAAGATTAATTTGATTTAAACAAAGAAAACAAAGCTCAATCTCATTAGTTGTGAAGTTGATTAGAACTAAAAACATAAACACACAAATATGAATATGAAATCTCATGAACACTTATTTTTTTTCTGAATTCAAGAACAAGAACATCACATTCACAAACTCAGAAACCATTCACAAACCCATAAATCATTTTTTCTAATCTGATAAATTACTCTTCACCACCACCTGAATCGACATCAAGAAATATTTCAAACAAATCCAACAACAACAATCAAGATAGAAGAAGAAGAATGAAAGAAACATAACAAACGTAACAATAACAAATCTCAACCCAGATCACGATTTTAGTTGTTTTCTTTGGCATATTCACGCAAAACAGTCACTGGACGAATAAAGTTGGGGATTTTCGACCCTCTTAGAAAGATAAAGCTTAGGAGAGAGATGAACAGTTGATGAAATCCATAAGGAGAGTATGGTTCTAGAATCACCGCCTGAAGCACAAACACCACCATCCTGAAGCCGGTAGGAGGGCGTTGAAGAGACACAAACGAAGACGAAAAGAGATAGAAATGTAGATAAAATATCGGAGCTACAACCCTTCACAAACAAAGATCAAACAGATACGACGTCGCCAGAAAACCCTTCATTGACCAACCCTTTGTCGGAGAAGGCATAGGGATGTATCTAGTGGTGGACAGCGTCATCGTCTTCGTCAGATGAACATATATGGATACCAACTTGATCATTTAGGAAAACTCCGACAGAGATGACAGATTTGAGTGTAATGAGTGCTTGGTGGACAAATTTCTAGTGAATAAAGATTGAAAACATCTGAGAGAAAATGGAAATGTGGGAAGAAAATGAATAGGTCGAGTCTTGGAGAGAGAGAGAGAGAGAGATGTATTTTATTTTTGATATATTTTTAATTGTAGGTAAAAAACCAAAAATGAAAAATTAAATAATAAGGGCAAAATCGTCTTTACAAAAAAATTAAAACCAAACTGGACCAAACTTGTAAGAAAATGAAAATTTTGGACCATTAATGCTAGCTTAAACCGTTTTGGCCCAAACATGCTAGTTTTGATATATCACGGGACCATTCTTGCAATTTTGTCTAAAAATTAAGGCCAAATTTTAATAAATTTCAACACGGCATTCAAAAACCAAAAGTCCATTCTGTTTCCAATAGAAAAGAGTTAAAAATTAGGGACAATAATAATAATAAATAGCAGTATACACCTTAATGATTTCATTAAATGTAAGTCTCCTTTATTCTAATATCCTAACTCCATCCTTCATCATTCATCATCAGGCGTAGTCCATGGGACCATGAGGTTCAAAAAGGTTAGCCAAGAGCCCATTCTTTCTCATAGGATTCATACCCATGTCTTTGCACAGTTGATCATTGTACCATATTTCTAAAGCAGCAATCGACGATCGATAATGGTATTCCCCAGCTGATTCCTTCATATATTCATCCCATCTCTCAATATCTTTCTGCATCTCATCAACACTCGGTAGCTTGAATGCACCTTCAAGAAGCGCAGCCACCCATTTAGACCTCATTTCAGAGGTATAAATATTCGAAAGACTATCAGAAAATCCAATAACCGCTAGTTGTGGTATACGCGGATGAATGCATTCCCTGATAACATTATTGATCATCGATCAATTAACAATATAAGCAATCAGGGTTTTTTCTAAAGTTTATCCAATATAAAAACACGACTAACCTGTATAGAGGGACTCGTGGTGAATCCGCAATGAAGTGACGAAATGTTGGTGATTCAAAAATGTCTTTGAGCTTTTCTGCTCCTTTGAATCCAGTAGCGAATATAACAATGTCAGTTTCTATATGTGCGTTGTCCTTTTCAATCACAATGCCATTGTCGTAAAAGCTAAAACTTGGCGTTTTCTTTAGTTTGATGCTTCCTTTCTCAAGTGCATTGAAGAAGTCATTTGAATCTGGCAAATAGATGATCAAACTTGAGCGGGCTTCTTTCGAGAAGCTTTCTTTTGGTACCATGTTGTACTTGGCAAGTGGAAGCTTCTTTTTGATGTGGCTTTCGACAAGTTTGGAGACTCCCCAACGCTTTTATAGTTGGTGATCAAAAGAAGGACAAATAAGTGCGTATATATGAAGAGGTTAAAATAATAACAATTGTGTAATCGAAAATGTGAGAACAAAGTTTAATCAAATATTATTAGCTTAAATATATGTGAATAACAATGTTTAATCACATGTGAATAATTAATCAGATGTGGTTGATAAATTTAAAAATAACAAAAGAATTCATATTAAAAAAAACATCATATCGATATTAATTTTAATTTATAAAGAAATAAAAATTAAATTTTTTAACATATTTGGAAAAAAAAATCTATAAAAATAGCATTATAGAATGGATGGTCAACATATTTATGACAAAATTATTTGGTTGGGATTAACATATATCTTATTAAAATATTTAACCTTATAATTGATTAAATATATTCTAATCATAGAAACGTATGTTTGAGATTAATTATTTAAAGTTTATATATTAATTTATTTCGGTTTGATAACAGTTTTGAATATACTAATTAATTAATAATGACATAAAATACAAAACGTTTATCGTCTTCAATAAGCAATTTTTAACTAATTTGAAGGTATTAACTTCTTTGAAAGTATAAACATCTAAATTTGAGCGTACTTATTAGCTATTATTCGTGTTTTTACCCTAAAAATATCAATCATCGACATACTGTAGCCTCTAATTCTGTTTTCTCATCATCATCGATGCACACCATAACCATCTGCTTGTGCAATTCTCAACCATTGTTCCCTTTCATTGTTGAAATATAATAATATATGTGTTGTAAAATTTCTAATGCAACTGTACCAACTCATCTTGTTTCATGGTTTTTGTTTTATTCTTTTGTTTAGCACAAAATAAATTTGATTCGTTATAACTATTTTTTTAAACAAAATGTTTAATATATATATATATATATATATATATATATATATATATATATATATATATATATATATATATATGTGTGTGTGTATGTATATAGGGTTCAATTGTCATATTAAAATGTTTAATGAGAAAAGTAAAAGAAAAAATTAATTATATTATTTAAAAACATAGCTTTTATTATAGAACTGAAAACATTATCTAAAAAAGAATGATACAGTTATGTAATTAAAAAAAAAAAAAAGTAAAAGGATAATATAATAATTCATTTAATTCGTCACTAGTTTAATGAATTGTGATTGCATAAGAATATCCGCCTGCTTGTTCCATCTAAAAGATTGACATGTGTGTCATATTCATGCCATGTGTGGTAAATGGGAATTGACGGTTAGCTAATTAATTATCATGTTTTGTTTTTTGTTTTGTTTTTGTTTACTAGCAAAATCAATACTAAAATAATAACTCATAGTAACATTAAGAGACAAATTCCCAGGCTTGTCTTATTATTATTATTTTTTTGTTTTTATTTTAAAAATGTATCATCTTGCTATGTGAATTAAAGACTTTACGGATGATTTGTGCATTGATTTTAGAATATGATTACCAATTAGTATAGATGTTCTATGTAGTATGTACATATATGTAAAGATTTGAAAGGTTAATATAAATTATTATAAATATTCTATTTATGGATTTCAAAAAATTATTATCATTTATTATAGATATTCTTTAATTTATGATATCAATAAATATTATATTCTATGCATCACGAGTGCTGATGTGGAGCTGTAGAGGGACTTACAAGAGGTGAAAGTAAAGTAGCGACAAGACTAAGAAGAAAGCCTTCGCCTGGCTTATGAACCAAAAACTCCGAGAAACGATTCAAGTATAAATGCGTCAACGGGATTCCCCATGGAGACCAATCCGGGAGCTTCCAGTGATCACGCCGGTATACTAGAGTACAGGGGATGTTCAGGGCCTGAAAATAAACGTCGGAAAGTTATGGAAGACGACCCGGAGAAGATTAAAGCTTGACGATGAATTAACACCTGCATGCAATGCAACTAACCGTTGATCGAAGAGCACTCTCTTGCAATGTCGAGTCCTGTTTTCCCGAACCCCACGACAACGACCCTCTTCCCTCTCACGAAATCTGCAGCTTTGTCGTGATCCATGGCGGCATAATCCATGGAATGTATTGCATGTCCATGGAAAACTTTAGGGCCTTTCCCGGCAGCGAATTCGGGTATATTTGGAACATCTTTGAATCTTCCCAAACAGAGAATCACGAAATCCACGGTGTAAACCTGGTGATTTCACATAAAAATGTAGATTTGTTTTTCGTTAAGTAAAACAATGACTTTAGAACAGTACTGGATACGATTTATACCTGGATGGAGTCATTTCCGGTGTCGTGTACGGTGACATTCCACTTGCCTTCCGGTGGAAATGGTTCTCCGATTCCGTTCCACAGCGACCATGGGTCGGATGATATTGGTCCGTTAAAGCTGATTCCGTTGACTCGGGAATGGAATTTGATGTGGGGTATGAGATCAAAGTGGGTGGCGTAGGATCGGAGGTAGTCTAGAGTCTGTTGTTGGGTAGGGAAGACATCGGTGACGGAAGACGGCCATGGGAAGTCGGAAAACTGATACAAAGGTTTTGCCGACTGGAGCCTGGTGGTTTTGATGGTTTTAGCCCATACGCCACCAATGTCGGATTCCGACTCGAAGACAATGGGGTTGAAGCCTTTGGAGAGACAGTATTTGCATGCAAGGAGGCCAGAAATTCCGGCCCCTACGATGGCAATTTGCTTTTTATCCATTATCTTAAGCAATGAAATCTGCGATATGTTCTATGCTACTGTTATCTATTTATATATATACTCAAGAACCCTAAACATGTAGGATGGGTCCACATATATTTTGGCCCAGTAGAAAAATAAAAATTCCCTTTGAATACATATCAGAAAATTTTTAAATGCAACAATAAAAACATTGACTATTTAATTGGAATAAAACAAAAACAAAAATGATGTTTATCGCTTAAGATTTAACTATAAAGACTATTAGACATTAAAACAAAAAAAAATGTTAATTGCTAAGATTTAAAACATTTATATCAATAACAAATATTTTAGACAATTAAACTGTTGGTTGTAAGACTTATACTATGAACTTTATGAATAAGTATTTTAATCTATACAAATAAAAAAATATTGACATGGTTTAAAAATTATCGTGAATTACAAATTTTTAAAGATATTTTTGAATTTAAAAATTTTAAATTTATAAGGTAATCAGTTAATTGATAAAGAAAAATGAGTCAATTAATAAATTCTTAAAATTAGAAGACATTTATTACATAAATAATAAACAGAGAAAAAATGAAAAAAGAAAATTACCATAATAAAATACCATGGAAAAAAATTAATTAAAAATAATAAAAAAATAACATGGAACGAAATAAATGAAAATAAAACATATATCAATTTTTTCTTTCATTTATTAATATAGATTTATACAATAACATTTTCATATATAAAATATATTTTCATAAATAGAAATCAAGAGTTAAATTTGTCAAAGGACAAGTCTTTTTGTGGGGTTTGAATAGCCAACTTATGATCATCAAGATGATAATTAAATAGACTTACCAAATAGGATAGTAATAAATGATAATTTCTTCGATAGAATAATTATTTTTATCATTTTTTTTAAAACGATAAATATAATTCTTTTTAAACTATACCTTAAATTCATCTACGTTCAAAATGAGACTTAAAGCCTCAACCTCGATAAGAAAAAACAACACCAAATATCGTTTGGCTACATATTTTAAATTGAAAAAGATTTTAAGAGAACGGTTCAAATTGTCAATTTTTTTTTTTTTTTTTACAACTATCCTATGTATACATTTGCATCCTCCATAATAAATGAAAATAATTTTGTCGGTTGTCATCTTATTATGCATTATATCACATGTCATTTTGTAGTAAATTTAGATTAATTTGTATTCATGTGTTATTTTATGGTTTTTTTCATTTTTATTAAATTTCATATAATACTTAAATGTAATAAATGTAATATATATATATATATATATATATATATATATATATATATATATATACACTAGGTGTGAGATCCATGTATTACATGAGTTTATTAAAAAATATATATATAAAATTTTAATAATTTGAAAACTTTAAATTTATAAAAAAAAATGAGAAAAATTTTAAATTATTAAAATTAATAAGGCTTTAATACATTGAATACATTACATATATAAATCATTTCTAATAAATACTTTACATATATATTAGCTTACATATTAAATGTAAAA